CTTTTTGTTACTCTATCTCATAAATATAGAAATTGTATCCGATGAGGATTAAAAATATTTTTTTTCAATTTAAAAAAATAATTATTATAGAAATTATAGAATTATATATATTAGTTTCTGTTGAATTTATCTTTCAATTTACAAACATTATTGAAATAGAAAGAAATTATTCTTTAGTATTTGTGAGTTGTACACATAACTGAATCTATTTTTAAAGTTTAATCTTACGTTTTTTTATGATCATTAAATTATTTTCGTGACCAAGAAAACTGTTATGTATTCGAAACATCTTGAAAGTACTACTCATTAACATTTTAGCAACATTAACATTAGTCCTATGAGATTTTTTCTTGTTTTCTTTCTCATTCCTTTCTAGCAATGTAGATTCAGTTTAAAGTATAATCTAACAGATTATTTGTAATAAAGCACATTGCATGCTTACATTGAGAACTGCAATCTTATCTTCGCTGGAAGTGAGTTTCCCGCTGGCGCCGTTGTACTCCGCGAATGCGTGCGCGAGCAGCGCGGCGGCGGCGGGCGCGGTGCGGGTGCGCGCCGCCAGCCGGTGCAGCGCACTCAGCGCCTCCGCGCGGACCCACTCGTCTTTAGAATGGAGATTCACTGAAATATTCGGTAACTTAGTGCCCTGCCGTTCAAAAGATTCAGATTAAATAAATTAGAGGGACTATTAGTGCGTAGTTATTACTGACAAATGTGGAATTTGTCATCTTTTACTGTGGAAACTGAGATTCATACTTTTAAACAAAACTTGTTTATACCTATCAAACTCTTTCCGATATCAACAGCCACGCCATCCAGGTAGATATTGAGATTGGCAACCACTTCTCCGACAGCTTGAACGATCGTTTCCGGACTCCGGAGCATGGCTTTGTGCAGAACCGGCAGTAATGTGTCTTGGATATCAGACTCGCTGAGCAGGTGCAGGAGGTCAGAGCAGCCCTTGATGTAGTTCGCATTTGGCCTGGACTTCACGCTGATCAGACTTTTAGTAAAATTTTCTAACATTTTGGCCTGAAATATTTATTGGATGTTATAGTATGTGCTGAGCATAAACTTTTCAACATTTTTGGATGCACAGACTCCTGAACCATCTTATATTTTGAGTTATAAGGTATTTTTAGACAAGAACCTAAAGATTACAGAAGTATTATGTGTTTCTAGATTTTGATGGTTATGGTAGTAGCAAAAACTTCTACTTTAAAATAAAATATAGAATGAAAAAAAAAGGGAAAAAGAAAAAAAAATCCTGTTTTCATCTTCTGTTATTCTAACTCTCTCAGAGTGTTCCAGAACTTTTCATTGCAGTCAAAAGAGACTACTAGATCTCTTCTGAGCTAGCGGGTTCGCACCATAAACGTTTACTGACTGCAGTAGTCACTTACAAAGCATACTCCAACACCAACACTAATTCATGCATAAATAACATCTATAAAATAAATATTAAATACTGCAATAACCAACCTTATGTAATGTTATAATAGATTCATCTCCTATATCCTTATAATGAGCACAGAGAGCAGAGAATGTCACTGAGATGTGCGGTCCGCTGTCACCAGGCTGTGCTAGTAATGTTTCCACCCATTTCAGTACTTTCTCTTTTCCTATTTTACTCCATACCGCATGTAGCTGGTGAAAACAATATTTACAAAGTATTATACAGAGTGGGTGTATGTGGGCTTTTGCTATTGAACTTTTTCTGTTCTCTAAAATATATGTGTATGTCTGAGTGTCACTAAGATAGGTAGGTAGGTAAAAAAATACCATTCTGCCTATTTATAGTGTGAAGAGGTTCAACTGTTTTGGTTTGAATGGTAGCATAATAATTGAACATAAAATATAGATAATTGAGAATTTGACCTCATCTTGTTTTCAGTGGTATTTACACTATGATGTGTTTGAGCTTCCAAAACAATTTAATACCAGGTGGCCATGGACTCATTCCATCTATACTTATCTACACAATAATAAAAACATACCACAGAATAAGCTTTTTTATTCTTCTTCTTATCGCCATATGCACAAACAGTGGCTAGTAAATTAGCCTGCGCAAGTATCAATGAGTTCAGGTCCACTTCATGCTCTAAGGATTTCGGTGAAGACTCAACCAGTACACTAGACCATCGAAGTGCAAACAGACCTGACTGGCTGTTGCTTTTTCTGAAAGTAAATATTTACAGTCTATAGTGTTTGTTGCCTATAGTATTGCTGTATAGCTTAAAAAATAGAACCATAATAAACAAAGTTTCAGTATTTGTAATTAGGATATCACAAAAGGGCTCAGATGTCAGAAAGTAACTTAGACTATAAAACCATGCCCCAAGGTAGATAACAACATTTATGTTTTTTATATCTATGGGCACTGGTATGCACTTACCAGGGGCACCATGAACTCATCTACCCATCTAAGCAATATAAAAAAAACCGTTGCTGAGTTGTAAATAGCAACCACCAAGCAACTGCTCTCTATGATTTTGTGACCTTAGTAGTTTTTATAACTGTTGTTGGGACAGATAGGGCATATTAAATGACAAAATCCCTATCCTCTGCTATAAAATGTTTCTGAACATTCACAAGGTCTGATCTGACAAAGTGGAGCATTACAATACTTATAGAGGTTATTTCACTAATATTCATTAATTTTTTGTCTTAAGTTAGTCAAAAGCAATCCCTCTGTGTTATGTATGGATAACCACTTAACATTAAGTTAATTATGAACTTATTTCTACTTAATATTGTTTGAAAAGTAGGTTCACAGTACACATGTTAATGGAGCTGTGAAGGCTTCCCACCTTCTGTGATAAAGTCAGTAAAAGACATTGAAATACACAAATGTTCTTAAGTTTACAATGAATACCTGTATTCTGAATCAGTGAATTCTGAGTTCTGAAGTTCACCAATTCTTTATGTTACTGAAGCTCATTTTGGAACTAGTGGAGGTAACATTGAGCACTTTTCAGTTATCTCTACTTAAGACTATCAAATGCAAAACTTACGAGGTTGAGTTGTTTTTCAGCTGTTCTGATATCTCTAGTAATACGGGTGATAAATTCTTAAATGCCCATTCTGTGTGCTCAGTAGCAAGGAAAGCCACAAGACTCTTGATGTAAGATTGGGACGTTGTATCTCTATATCTGTGCAATGTCAGAGCTAGCACTCGGCAAACAAACTTTACTGCTGGTTCTGTTATACCTGTTAAAGAATTAATGTCAATCTTATTTTATTGCCTTTGAGAGCAGACCAGCATACTCTCCATCTGAAGGTGAAAGGTTAACGGCTTTCAAGACATCAACAATGCCAATAAGCTGTAGTAATCATTCTATTTCTTCTTCATAAGCTAATGGTTAAGACAAATTATTACATTCTTATTTGTATACTTGAGTAGTAAAGCTTTTAAAGCGAAAACTTATATATTTCTGATATTCAAACCCAAATAAAATTTGACTGCATGATTTTTTGTTTATCTATTGAGTTTCAATAAAATTTTCGAAACAAGAGGCATGGGGTGATCCGTCCCTATTGCATTCGTTGCAGTAGAATGCATTGGAACGGGAGCACAGCTCACCCGGCGCTCAAAACCGATCAATACAGCTGTCTGATAACAACCTATAACAACCTGTAGCAGAACGCAAAGAGTACGAGATAAGTAAGTACAGACCTAGATAAAGGTTTTAAAAGTAATTAACTAACCTGGCGACGATAAAATTTCACGTATTTCATTAACTACTTCAAGTCTCCCTTTTAAACTTGCTGTCTGGATTTTAAATGGAATATCTTTTAATTTCTTTAATACCTATAGACAGAAATGCATCATATTAGAAAATATTTCAGAAACATTAGTATGAGTTATAAATATTAGAAATTACCTCTGTATCAGCCATTATCAATATACAATCAGCTGAAATTTAACTAAAAACCACACACACGTCTTGCACACTTGTCTTCGTAAATTACAGATCACCCATGATGTACAATGTACATTATAAGTGTACATCATTTATAATCTATGCTAATTTTCTTAAAAGGATTTTATGACCTGGTAACTAAGATTTTTAGGTCATGTCTTATTTTAATTTATATTATTCTTTTTATGAAAAATGATAATATGGAGTGAAATGAAATGAAGATGATTAATTTGAGACATTAATCAAGTGCGATGAAATTAAATTAAATGAGATCATATAGGATGAAATATAATTTCAGTAAAATGCTGGTCATTTGCTGAGATTTTTTCAATGGACTTTTGGTACGATCCCCAGAAGTTACGTCCAGCGGCCTTGTTTCATTTTCCCACATTTGTGCACTTTCACAGATATTAAACAATTAATAAACCACCGTTATTATATTGGTCTATGCCGTTATTACACAATAACGGTGTCCATGGTCTATTGTCATTTTATGCCACAGTTTATGTACCCAATCCAATTGGATTCATTTTCAGTAGTAGATTTCAAATATTAAGTGTATAATGTATGGAAATAGAAAAAAAATCTCTGAGAAGCATATTTGTCAAGAAATCGCAAGAAATTTTGGCGGGAACGTGAGGAGTGAAGTTGTGTGATTTGTTTTATTTGGTCTATTTAGTTTTTCTTCAGGTTTAAATGTGTAATAACGGTGGTTTATTAACTGTTTAATATCTGTGAAAGTGCACAAATGTGGGAAAATGAAACAAAGCCGCTCGACGTAACTTGTCGGGATCCTCCAAAAAGTCTACTGAAAAAATCTCAGTCAATGACTATTATTTTACTGAGATTATATTTCATCCTTTATCATCTCATCTCACTACATTTAATTTCACCCCAATTAATTATTGTCTCAAATTTATCATCTTTTTTTCATTTCATTTCTTTTACTATTTTATCATTTTTCATAAAATTAAGAATATAAATTAAAATGAAAACATGACCTAAAAGTCTTAGTTACCAGGTAATAAAATCCCTTAAAAAAGTATTAGTTTTGATTTAATCATTAAATACTGAAAATTTTTGATAAAATTGCTTGTGGTCTACGGCAAAAGTAAATTGTAGTGCCCTTTGAAACTTGCTGTTTTGTGCATATACCACAGCAATGGAACAAAGACTAAAAACCTTATCAGAATTAGACGTACGGATACAGAAATTTGAAAATGGATTGAGTTCGATACTTCAAACTTTGCAATGGGATAAACAAAAACTTTTCGAGGTTATTTAAATTTTTTAATGTTATTTGTACGGTTTTAATAGGCAGTGTAAAGATTTTAACGTTACCCTTAAAGCGAAAACGCATGAATATTCTTCCATTATGATACTCCTTATATCTGCTGTAAATTCTGTACCATGGCACAGTGTTTTTAATGACATGGGCACATTGAAGATATTAGGCTAGCGGCTCTCAGCCACTGGGTCGCGACAGATTGGCAAGTCACAAGCCCCCGAGATTTACAAATACATTTTTTTTATCCAAATAGGTTAGGGGTTAATTGCACTTCTGGGCTAAATATGGGGTAAATACAGAACTGTTTTCTAGATTTTAACTTTACAACTAAGTTTAATAGAATCTTCTACTTAGTATATTATGATAAATGATATATCATGTAATTAATAATAATATAGACCGACCTATACCTCCTACATTCAAGTATAAAATTTTTTAGTCAATATTGAAGTTTATAATGAATTTGTAGATTATCTTAGTGCATTACTGAGTAAATGTTTTTGAGAACTGCTCTATTAGGTCATGAATCTAAAAGATTATCATAAATTGTATGTAATTAATAGTACAATTAAAAAGTGTATTTAAAGTTTCAGAAAAAAAACTTAATGACCTGTAAATATGACAGTAACCATCGAATACCATCAGAAAAATTGGAAATCCATGAGAATAAGTGCAGGCTGAAGAGCCTTGGATATGATCAAGATCAAATATTTCTGCCAGAACCTTTGGATCCTGACAGTAAGACTGTTGTCAAATTGAGTAAGTAATTTGTGACTGGAACATCATCCTGTGAAAACCTACAATGTAGACTCATAGCTGAGTAGTGTTCACCTTTAGGGTTTAAAACATTTGCACAACATTACTTTTTCAGACATTTCGAGCTTTTGTTACTTTATCAATATTAAGAATGAAAAAATGACCAAATTTAAATTATTATTTTTAATCATATATTATTACATTAATTGTTTTTCTTATATATTATAATATTATTATAATTAAAGTTATTTATATTATATTATAATATGGAAATTGACAACAAGTGATCATGATTTAGAGATAAGAATAGATAGATTAGTGATGGAACTGTCTGAGGTTCAACTCCACTGGCAGATCCCAATTTTTTTTTTAACTGTGTTCTAGCCACTTCCAAAGAAATAACAAGGTGTAATGTTAATAAAGATGTAAAAATATTACTTCAATTCACTACTATCCATACTTTGCATAATTATGCTTAATTCCAGATAGAGAGAAAATTACAGACATAATAAACAAAGCTGCCAATTCTGAAAGACTATTTAAAAGAGGTGAGTGAATACAGTTGAAGAATTTTAATATTCCAGTATACTGGGTGTTGGGGAACTGTATTCGTGAAGATAATTGGGTAACTATATTACCAGAACATATATTGAAAATAATATTAAGTTACAATTAATAGATTATAAGCAATATACAATATTTAAGCAAATTAAATGTCATTAATGCTTAATACTGAATTAATCCAATGAAAATTTGGTTTTTAAATGATTGAAGGGCACAATATATAATATAAATTATTTTGTTATGAAATATCTTCATTTTCGTAATTGGTTCCCTTACACTACGATTATTTAATTGATTGTTGATTATTCTTTTTCAATGTTACAGTTGTCGGATATAGATTAACAATAGCCGCACATTCTACAATATTGAAATTGTATCCTTTTGCAAAGTATTAGAAGTGACATATTAAGGGTGTTTCCTATTGTATTTTTATATATAACAGCAAATAATATAAAAGTCAAAACTTGTTGCATGAACAGTATGGGAATTAGCTATAAAATGATATAGCAATTGATAATTCATAGATTATCTCTCCCATGCCTCGACTTTGACACAGTGGTGACATTCTGCTAAATGTATCCTTTGTTATATCACAACTACACCCAATATAGTATTTGATTTATACCTAATTAACATATTTCCGAGAGATCTAGAAAGTTCTATTTATTGCGCAAATATGTTTTTTTGATAAATGGACTTTGCACATGACTTACACATTTTTGGTTTTTTGCTGTCCTTTTTTAAATCATACAAATGTCATTATATACCATAAAACATCTTAATGACATACAACCCAAACAAAGAAATTATTTTCATTCATAATATTCCTTAAATCAAGGTCAGGGACCTGAAGACTCGGAGCCACTGACTGTAGAGCGTTTACAGAGCACGTACACTTGTGATGAGAGGAGAGCTATACATGATGCTGTGGTTGGAGCGGCGCCCACATGTCACGACCTATCCGATCTGGCTTTGCCAAGGTGAGATTGGGGTTATATTCCAAATAAATCAATCTTTTATCAACAGAATTAAATGGTCAGGGTCTAATTGTATGCTAGACTTTCACCTGATTATTGGTGATCTTAAATTGTCAATGTAATGACATCTATGACATCATAGCATTCTATTTGAGGACCTCATTTGTATTAGATTAACTATCAGAATGCGTGAACGTACTTTGTGTGAGAACTACACTTGATGCAGGTAGGCAGCGGCGTATGTCCCTGCCATTGCTGAAGCCCGTGAGCTACGGTAACTACTCACCGTCAGGTTGGCAGTACGTTGCCCGTAAAACGGCAATGGATAAAAAAGTCTGTGTCGTTCCGTGCCAGTTTTACATTGAATTCCCGTATATTAATAAGGTATTGATGAAGTTATGCAAGTAGCTTAGGTGACGAACAGCCCACTGAGTGTCTCGCCGGATCTTCTCAGTGTGTCGCGTTTCCGATCCGGTGGTAGATTCTACGGAGCACTGCTCTTGCTGGGGCCAGTGTTAGCAACACTCCCGATTTGAGTCCAATGAGCTCACCTACACGTCAAGGAGAAGCTGAAATAGCCTCTCAAGGCTATGAGTATGGTAGGGGAAAAAAGGTGAAGATAATAATGGCAGGAATTAGAGGGGCTGGGAACTCCATACCCGCGTCTTAGCACTGGACGCGTCAACAATGGCCCATTGAACTCAACACAAACACCCCGTACTGCTTGTGAACTAGCTATGGTTTTTTCTCATTAGCACGAGTGGTGAGGGAGAAAAGTCGAAGGAGAGCAAGTCTCGAGTGGAGATACTGGCCGAGCTGAGGGACATGAAGCGCCGCCGGACCAAGTACCGCGTCGCCGCCAAGACGCAAAATTTCTCAGCCGTTCTACGGGATGTCATTAAAACTCAGGTATTCCTACTCATACATACCAGCTATACACGTTGAGACGTGATACTAAAGAGCTGAGTCACGAAATGACCCCTGAGCCCGGCATCATTGTCTATTGCAACTGCATTTCAATTCTTGTCTATGGTTAAAATCTTAGCGATTCTCTGTTTTACAAGTTTGAGATATTACAGATAACAAAGATTATAAAACATGATGAATTTTAAAATTGAATGAGCTCTCATTCTGACTCGTACTAATGGCGGATACGACGACGGTGACGGAAATAGCGGGGACTATTTAGATTTTAAAACGGTTTTGAGTACATATTTAGATTATAAAGTTGAAACAACGTGTATAAATGTATTGTGATCTAGAGAGAATGCCTCTTTAATTCATATTCAATCAATAAATAATCAACTGGTGGTAGGACTTCTTGTGAGTCCGCGCGGGTAGGTACCACCGCCCTGCCTATTTCTACCGTGAAGCAGTAATGCGTTTCGGTTTGAAGGGTGGGGCAGCCGTTGTAACTATACTGAGATCTTAGAACTTATATCTCAAGGTGGGTGGCGCGTTTACGTCGTAGATGTCCATGGGCTCCAGTAACCACTTAACACCAGGTGGGCTGTGAGCTCGTCCACACATCGAAGCAATAAAAAAAAAAAAAATATTAATATTGATGAATTGTAATAAAAACTAAGACCGCGTTCACAATAATAATATTTTGTGTTTTATTTTTGTTCTACAGATGGAACTGTACATCGAAGCACGAAACGAAGTTACGAGAAACAAAAATAATGATAAAACAACAGAAAATGGTACAAACGCACAGCGAGTGTTGCACGGAGCAAACAGTGCGCGCACAGAGTGCGGGACTCACTACAGAGATAGAGGCGACACCCGGGCTGGCCTCAACAGACACAACACTACCGCATTTAGGTATTATTAGATTATTTTTTTATAGATTAGAGTATATTATTTTAGTTTTAGTAGTTTAGTTTATTATTTTATAGATTAGATTAGTTTATAGATTAAAATTACAGGCAGCGGCAGAATAGCAGCGATAGTTTCAGCTATCACAAAACTGAGCCGCGGCCTTTTATCTCCACTGTCAGTATAATTAATATATTGTAATATTGTTTAGATAGAATTAGAAATTTATGTCATATTAATTGAAAAGTTATTTGTATTGTGGAGTAAATAAATGTAATTATTATTATATAGACACGGCAGACCAGGGACACATGCAGACCGACCAGACATGCCAAATGATAGGGAAGCAATTAGAGACGTATATAAAAAGCATACACGTGAGCGCACTGAATACAGAGATACGCCTCGGAGAAGAGATGACTATAGGAACGGAACACGACAATATTATGATAAAGAATCAAGCCATCGCAGGAGCAGGTCAAGGGATAGAAGCAAAAGTGAGAGGTATAGCAGAAACAATGATCACACGAGGAGATGCGAAAGGAGAGATGGTAAAGAGAGACACAAGAGAGAGCACGACTCCGACTATCACCAGTACAAGCGAGAAACCGTAAAACGCAAGCGACTCTAATAATGTAATACTGATCACAGTTTCTAGTTTACATTGTGAATAAAATAAAATAAAAATGAGAGTTTTGTTTAATTTGTGGATTTTAGTTTAAACGGCCTAAGCTGGCAGATACAATCGGCTTAAACAAATGTCTCGTGATTTCATGACATTTAATAAAGTTCCAGCATCAACTAGCAGCGCTCGCGTATACATCATTTAATATACAAATCATGTATACATTATTTTACAGAATGGAAAGCAGTCGACGTCGCACCAAACACGTCATTTCGGATCCTCCCGATCCACTAACGGTACTTTTAGGTACTTCAAGCACCGGTCACCGTTCTCGTCGAACCCGTCGCTTGCGACGAAGGGCTCGAATGGGATGAATTAACCCATAGACAGCCCACTGAGTTTCTCGCCGTATCTTCTCAGTGGGTTGCATTTCCGATCCGGTGGTAGATTCTGCGAAGCACTGCTTTTATTAGTGCTAGTGTTGGCAAATTCTCTCAGGTTGATCCCGTGAGCTACCTACCAATCCGCGAGATGCTGGAATAGCCCGTCAGGCTACCAGTGAACATTTTTACTAATCGCTCGTGTGTATATCATTGTAGGTACTGCTCGTGCTCCAAAGTTGAACTTTAGCGTCCTCGTTAGTGTTCGAAGAACTTACACGTAATCTCCGATGTTTGTCCAGTACGGACGGCCCGTATGTTTTAAACAATACAGACAAAACTTAAACAACTCAATGTTGACACGTTAAAATGTTTATCTTAATACTAAAAAGCAGTCTGCAACTAAATATTCTTATTGATGAATTATAACATTGTAAATTCGGTTAATAAAGTGTCCAAGCACCGTGTCGCGTCCGTTAAGATCGCTCAATGCACACATCAACCTAATTCTGGTTATTATATGCATCGTTAAACAACTATAGCGCTCGTTTTGAATAATTATCAAATTTTGTTACACAGGGAGTATAGTTACGCCGACGTATTCGATGTTATTCTTTAAGTGTATTGTCCATAATGATTTTCTAGAATTGAAATTCTTTTTTTTCTTTACCTATTGGCTGGTCGTCTGAGGCTATTCTAACCACGCTGCAACTGGTAGTTGAGCTCACGGAGCTCAATCTAAAAGAGTTTGCTAACACTAGCCCTAGCAAGAGCAGTATTCTTCGCCAGATTTTTCCACCGGATCGAAGTCGTGACCCACTGAGAAGATCGGCGAGACACTCAGTGGGCATATCTTTTTGTTTTATACCAGAATACTGTCTGAAGCTTGAAGTTTAGACAAAAAGTATATTATTATGATGACGGACTTCTATATTGCGATTTATAGATATTCCGGAATTAGATTTAAAAAATAAATAATAGTTAAAAAAAATTAAAAATATGCTTTTATAGAAAATCCAACTTTAATAGCTCTAATATAAAAATGAATTGCTGTTCGTTAGTCTCGCTAAAACTCGAGAAAGGCTGGACCGATTTGGCTAATTTTGGTCTTGAATTATTTGTGAAGTCCAGAGAAGGTTTAAAAGGTGAATAAAAATGAAAAAACTCGGAATTAAATAAAAATAACAATATTGTTTTTCTTTTGATGTGTCCCCCCGTCGGACGGATTGCTTTTGTTTGTTTTAAATTTATTTTATACAAAAGTTTAGGTCTTTTTTTTATTTTTCGATTGAGGCGCTACGAAGTATGCCGGATCAGCTAGTAGAAAATAAAATTTAATAAATTTAAAAAAAAGTGTAAGAAAAAATGATTTTATTGTAAAAAAAGCATGGGGTGCTTTACAAGATATTATCAAAATATAACTATTGATTCCATGCACCCCACGCTTTTTTTTTACAATAGAATCTTTTTTTCATAGACTATTTTTAATTCCACCAAACCAACCTCAAACAATACACAAATTAAAGAAACAGGTACGTCCTACAAATCTGAAAGCTTAATACTTATAACCAGCAAGAAATCATTGAACAGTTTTACAAAACGCGTATTTCCCATGATAATTCATTTACTGTGGTGTCGGAACACGCGAGGCTGTCCTTCTCACATAGTTTTTAGTTCATAACACGTTCACAATGCTTATTGTAACTAGATTAGGTGTTTATTGAACTCTACATCTGGATTACTAACCATTTGTTACGGATGTATTCGGTTTTATTTACTCTGGGAATAGATCGAAGAACTGTAGATAGATTTTGGCGGCTTTTTTAAGTCTAGTTATTAAAGTTCTTTGATGCCATAATGTGAATGCCGCTAGTGAGACCGTGAGACATGAGGTCAAAGTCTCAAATGCACAGGAATAACGGTTATCCCAAGCTCTTCCGACCGGAATGCATTATTGGCCTAAAAAACTAACTATATTAATAAGTAGATCGGTATATGCTTCGACGGACCGACATTTTTATATAACATTGTATCACAAATACAAACTTTATGCCGACTCAATCTAAGGGACACGAATACGGTACATACCCGTGTAAACTGGTATGTTACGGAGCCTTGTTTATCACAATCATCAGACTGAATCACCTCAAATTAAACTTTCTCGCTCAGTTAACATTCAGACGCTTCCAAGTATTTCTTCCTCGTTCAAACGAACGTTTCGCTATATAAAAAAAAAAAAACATGAACAACGGAAGGCTATAAAAGGATCGTAATTAAGAGTCGAATGCCGTGGTCTCGAATAGCTGTAATTACTTAGAAACTCAGTAGAAAACTTGATACGTGGCGGAATGGGTGCGCGCAATGGGAGTGTGACGGTACGGACTCATAAAATACAAAATGCGCGTTCATATGCTCCAAATAATTAGCGTTGGTCTGATATTATTTAAAAAAAAAAACGCTTGTTAAAGTGATTGTTATTTTATAGCGTATTTCAAGACTTTAATCACTGACTTCTACTGCAACGACATCAAGTTATATAAATTATGGCATAATATCGTGTAATAAAACTAAACTGACAATAATTGTATTCGTAGTTATTAGCGGTGCTAAAAGTCCTTGCAAGTCGGCGCCACAGTAGCCCTTATCTTTACCGCAAAGCAGTCAAGCGTGCGGGCTTACGTAGTTTTATTCTAAGATAGACAGAGTTTTATTCTAAAGTAAATTGAGGTAAACTCTAGCTTGGGTACCAAGTTGGGTCCAGTTTGTGGTATCTGTAGAATCCAACGAATACTTATTAACGGGTAGACTGTGAGCTCTTCTGCCTATAAGCAAATGGAAAACCAAGTGCGCCCTAATCGCTTATCCGCAAAACATTTGTAGATTCTCATGTAATCTACCTATACCTACCGATTTCTGTCAAACTGTCAGTATTTCAAATTCTTTTTTTGTTTTGTTTTGACTAGCTTAAACTACTGAAGTATATAGGTCTATGGCTTAAAGATATACCTACCTTATCTACCAACCCACAGATGTACACTGCTCGACACAGGCCATCTCTCAGGCTCGTCATAACGACCGGTCCAGCGCTACCTGTAACCAGCAGATTTTCGCTACCTTCGAACAACTTTTGCTTAAAAAATAAAAGTATATAAATTAACGTCACCGTAAATTATCGTTATGCTTCCGTGGACGTTAGCTTTCATAGGAATTTCCCAATTGTAAGAAAGAATAACAAATAGCGTAACTTTAGAATTATTTTCAATGGAATCTAGTATATTTTTTGTCATTTAGTTTTTTTTTTTTTTTGTTGCTTAGATATGTGGACGAGTTCACAGCCCACCTGATGTTAAGTGGTTACTGGAGCCCATAGACATCTACAACGTAAATGCGCCACCCACCCCGAGATATAAGTTCTAAGGTCTCAGTATAGTTACAACGGCTACCCCACCCTTCGAACTGAAATGCATTACTGCTTCACGGCGGAAATAGGCGGGGCGGTGGTACCTACCCGCGCGGACTCAAACTCATTTAAATCAATTGAATGCGTTCTTTGAGTAAAAACTTTGAAAACCGTGCCAATGGAACAAATGAACACGCGAAATTCCTTCCTATTATGAAAGGCACAAAAAAGCAAGTTAAAAACTAAACTGCAAACGATATTTGATGCGAGTTCCCAGCAAAAGGCAACGCCTTCGCCGAGCCCCTTACATTGCTGATGTCCATGAGCGACGATAACTACTTACCATCATATGGCCATCTGCTTAGAACGGCAAACAAAAAAAAATTCATTAAGAGCACTTGGCATTTCGGCGTGCAGTAAATAGAGAAGAAAAATTATGTACACATTTTAAACTTTTAAAGAACCAAGTACTTACATATATGATACAACTACTGTTGAAAATATAAATATACTAGGTTTTGCCCGCAACTTCGTCCCCGTGGAATAGCTACTTTGGCATAACGCTAATTATTACCCGCCTCTTCATTTACGTAGAAAGTGAACATATTTTTGAATAATAGAATGTTAAGGAGCTTTTTAAGCTTACGCTTTTTAACCGACTTCAAAAGAGGAATCAATTCAATTCGACCCTAATTTTTTATCTATGTTTATCTATGTAAAAAATTATGGCTTAAAAAAACATTATAGTGAGCCAACCTTAACGTATAGACATTTATGCTGTTACGGACTTTTTTTAGATCTTTTAAAGGGGAACAGTTTTTTCATACATTATTTTAGCAAAACTGTATCCGATTCCGCAGCGCACGCAGAGGAAGTTTTTTGATATAAAGCTTATAGGACTCACTTCATCAATAATAAATAATAATTGCAATCGGTACTACCTACCGTCACGGTAGATGATTTTCAATAGTACTCATATCAGGGATGACAAGTCCAAAGTAAACATCGAATTGAATCCAAGTAGAATTGGACAAAATTATCAAATTTTAATAAAACAAAATTAAGTAAGTATGTGTTTAGTAAAAGCCAAAGGTATGCAATAATGAATTTCAATTAAATGTGTGTTTTAGACACAAGCGAGTTCACATGTTTTTAGTTATGAGCGTTTATTGGTGGGCTAAAGATATTTTCTTAGTATATTATTTAGTACTGTTCCTCTATAGAAAATCTAGACTTGGTATAGATTATGCAAGTATACGATGACGTAATTTATAACGTAGTGTGATCTCTGTCTATTTTCAAAATAAAGCCTTAACATTTTCCTCATTTCTGAATCTAATTATTTTCTTTGATAGGCTGTATTTTTGGTTAGTTTTTTTAACATATTAAAGAAAGCCAAACAACCGATCCTTTGCTGGCCTTTTGAACAAAACAGCACGGTCGCGAGACGCCGTGTCGTATGTACTCGGATATCATTTCGCCATCCCTGTACTAGACCTTAATGATCAACATGTTTTTATATGCGAAATGAATCATTCGTGTCTCGGTCGAACATTATCTACGGTACGTGATTTTGTTAAGAGCATGCTTCGAAATTTGTTTATGACTGTTCCTGGTTGTATTTAATTATTTCTTGTTTTATTTAGTTTTATAAACACTTTCCGAGGTTCTCGTGAGCCGTAAATTTGATGCAATGAGAATTTATTTAAATGCTATTTAAGTGTGTTTCGCCGGTTCTTCCACGTTTGGTGAGGGCTAAGCATCGCGCAGTCACCGATCGTTTCTTTCCGTACCCATTTCTTTAAATAACGTGCCTAAAGCGTTTTTGATAGTGTCTACTCATTGTATAGTTTCATTACATATCCGAACCACCTGGTACAGTTTTCTAATAATTTACGTATAAGCACAGCTCTGAACGATCCTCTGATATTCTAATTTCCTACTTTACGGATCCGCCTTGTAAGTCCCGTCTCGGCGACATAATTTCAACCTATAATTACTATTATTTAACAGGCTCTTACGTCGAGTCTGCCGATGATCACGGCGCTTGCAACACCACGGAAATATCGGAAAACCGCCTGAATTATTGATCGTTATAAAATCCCATTAAATAATAATAGTCAAAATGTAGACAATTTCAAAAGTTAAAATAATTCGTTCTCATTTCGTTTGTATGAATATTTTGTGGGCGTCTCTTCTTTAATACCAAGTTTTGATTAACTACTTAACAGTTTTTGGAGTCTCTGAAGACGTAGGTTATCATATAAATGAAAATAGTTAGAATATAATATTTTTATATTAATTTTTTTTCTTAAATATTATCTTCTAATCTGTCTAACTAACGATCTAACAGATTTCTCAGTAAATTAGTAACTCGATTACAATTTAATGTAATTTTTAGTCTAGGCTTAATAGGTTTGACAGCTTCCTCGGCTAAATGAATCCGTGGAGAGAATATCCTCTTTATTGTAAAATTGAAAAGTTTTATATTAACGAATAACAACACAGAACGTATTGGTATTGCTATTAGAACAGGCGGATAGCTACTTCTGTCAGTACAGCTAATTTTAACTAGCAGCAGTCAAACTACAGGCTACTGTCCTGGGTGACTTTGACCAAGAGCTCTTTTTTTTTATTGCCATTGTAGGCAGACGAGCATACGGCCCACCTGATGGTAAATGGTCACCGTCGCTCATGAACGTCAGCAATGCCAGGGGCAGAGCCAAGCCACTGCCTACCATGACATTTGGTCCATAGAATCAACCAGCTGAGTTTTACTCCGGATCTCCTCACCGGGTCGTGATTTTGATCCAGATGCATTCGCGAAACAGCTTTTTACAGCAGTTACTAGTTAGGCCTCCGTTCAAGGCACTCGAGCAGTTGCTACCTGCCTCAAAAAATCTACTTCTATTCGGCCTAGTTCGCCAGTGACACTATTACGTGTTTCGATTTGAAAAGTAAAGCAGCCGCTATTAGAGTAAAATTGAGACTCCGATCTGATATAGGAAGAACGACATTGTGGTGTTTAAGAGATCAGGACACCATTTAACATCAGGTGTGCCGTAGTCAAACAGCCAAAGCCCTACTAAACATAAAACTCTACCAATGAAACCAATAAAAAAAAAACCAAGTCTACAGTGCATCAAAATAAACTTTAAAAAACAATGTAATTAAAACTACTATAATATTTTGATTTCTCATTTATGGTGATTTCTTTTGGTTTGATATTTTAATTTACAAAGTTTGAAAATTGACCTAACTAGCAAGGTAAGCGAGATTAGACCCTAAAACTAATTTAAATTATAACTGCGATTCGCGAAAACCGAGGAAAATATTAGTCAAAACGATAAACGAAATAAAGTGTATTTGAAACACTTTTCCACCATATTTTTCCATAATGGAATCTCTATGTTGTTCCTAGTGAGACTATTAAATAAACAATTTAAAGCTAGCGCTAAAACAAAGATCTCAAGAAGTTAGAGGTCGATGTGACCTCGGCTGTGTCGAGACACACCCTACAACATAGGCCAGGGTGCCCTTAGGGTCATTACGGTGTAAGAGCTAGTCATGGTATTGAATATATTTTTCGCCATCGATATTATTTGGAAACATTCGTGTTTTGTATGAGTGTCTATTTGCCTAATTGCTTACTAAAATGTTCTTGTCTTAATTTTACTGTCCAATGTGTAATTTCGAATCGATCGGCTCTAGATATGAGGTGAAAAACTATGACTATAAACGAAATGAATCATAGCGCAACTAGAAACTTACATTGCGATTGTATTGTTTGTTATGTAAGAAAACCTTACACACTTTGGCTATTCACATTTAGGTATCTATATACATATGTATGTGCTTCAGTAAGCTTTTGTGTAGTCGATAAAATAATAAAAGTTCGCTTATCACCGCTTCTCCTAAAAATATTAAATTAATGGTAAAAAAAGCTTTAAACCAAACGAACAGGGTATAATTGTGTGCAATCCCTAACCTACGTCATGCATGTAGCCTGGGTGCTTGCCTACGTTTGCCGCTAGGGGCGCTGTTCCTACTGCATACAAATTTGATTTAACTTTTACGCTATCGAGAACGTTAAAAAACTCGCACTAAGCTCACTGTTAATTGACATGTATATAGTGGAGGCTCATCAGTTAAACCGAATGTTTCGCCAACTTTGTGACAGGACTTAGCAACACAAGAGAATCAACATAACTGCCTCACTATGAGTAATACGAGTCGTGTACGAGTACTTTTTTTAATTTTTTTTTAGGATTTTAGGATTACTTGTGGTCCGGAAGCCTTTCCAGTTTCACAAGGACAAGTGATTGAGCAAAGGCTCAGGGACCCCGGTAACCGTACTCGTCGAACTGGACAAAGAGTTCGACGTGCAACCTAACCCATGAATCAGCTCGCTGAGTTTTTCGGCGGAACTTCTCAGCGGGTCGCGATTCCGATTCGGTGGTAGATTCGGAGGCGCTTGGGCAGATCCAAATATCCCACCCCTCTTGGCTGAGCCTTTGCTCGCCCACCTGTCCTGGTGAAACTGGAAAGGCCTCCGGGCCACCAGTAATCCATCCATCATAAAAAAAAAATGGATTCAATTTAAACATTTCTTTTCTATCTCCGAGTCTATAGAAGATAAAACGGTTGTTCCACCGCTTCCCAGGTTTCCAACCGTCGCTTCGTCCAAGAGCTCACGTCGACTCATGCCGATTCACTACTTATATAATCTATGGTCAGTTCAGTTGATCCCGAGCCACAGTGCGTGTGCTTGTGTCGCTACGTCGTTCAACTTATTACGATAACTTAAAATATCATTATATTTTTTTGAACAAATTTCTTGTGTTTTGGTGTTGGTGTTAAATCGTTTTTTTTTGTGGAAAGTGGTATTGGATTTCTCTCATATTACGGTGAGTTTTCTCATGTTTAGCGCGCTCTAATAAGAAATTTATTAAAATTTAAAGCGTAATCAGTGAATTAAAATAGTTTTAAGGTAAAGAAACCATTATGTAATACTATGTTTAAATATAGAAAAAATTAGCGAAAGTACAATAATAATAATAGAAATCATAGAATATTACAGATTGAAGTATTAAGCATGGGCTACGCACTTAGCATCAGGTGAGTTCGTTCACCAGTCTAAGCAATAAAAAAAATCTTTCCAGCTTATGGAAGCTCGGGTAAAACAGCAGAATAGGACTAAAAAGGATAAAATTTAATAGAAACAAGGAAATCTTTACATAGGTATTATAGATTTGATTAGAATTTTAAATGCTCAATTTTAAATCAAATCCCTTTTCAAGTGTCGTTTAATTTGTTATTAACAAATGCGATTTGCGTAGTCACATATAAAATGAACTAATGATTGAAGTTTCTAGATCTCAATTAGTGTTTCTAGAGCTTGGATTGAATGAAATTGCAATCATCAAACAGTTAATCGCTTGAGTTATATATTGTGAAGGCGGTGAGTTTAATAAGACTAAATTCGCAATTGTAATCTAATCAAAATAGCAGTAATAATGTGGTGTAATTATTTAATTAGAAATAACCATAAAAACATTAATAAAATAATGAAAACCGCCATTACGTATGTGTACCAATCAAAACAAACTTAACGGAATCTAGAACTTTTTTTAAGTTACAAATCTATACTTCTATACTAATATTATAAAGAGGAAAGATTTGTTTCTTTGTTTGTATTGAATAGGCTCCGAAATTACTGAACCGATTTGAAAAATTCTTTCACTGTTTGGAAACTACACATTCCCGAGTGACATAGGCTATAATCTTTTTTAAAAAAAATTAGGGATCCTGACTAAAATTCCAATAATGTTACCCAAGGTGTAAAAAAATTACCTAAAATATTCAATATACCGCGTGCTCTGCGAAAACTATTTATGATAGAATAAAATAATGTACTACGGCTTTGGAGAACACATTATTATTCACAAAAAGTTTCACGACAGAATATTTCTAACTATTAGAGTTATGCCGCAATAAGTGTTCTTCTATTTAAAAAAATAAAACAACGTCAAATATCGTTGTAATTTTTGTTAGAGACTCGAGCGGAGCCGGGGCCGCTAGTATTAAATAAAATGAATATTAAATTTGATGGTCATTGCTGTGCCTGACATTACCAGTGCTACTGGTAGACTCATAGATTTGTATCTGCGCACGCGTCGCGCTTGTCAACAATGCAAAAATGCTCTCATTTATCGAAGATCTTCCCTTTGCTTTCGGAAACAAAAACAACCCCCAAAATTATAATTTGCGTAATTACTGGTGGTAGGACCTCTTGTGAGTCCGCACGGGTAGGTACCACCGCCCCGCCTGTTTCTGCCGTGAAGCAGTAATGCGTTTCGGTTTGAAGCTTGGGGCAGCCGTTGTAACTATACTGAGACCTTAGAACTTCTATCTCAAGGTGTGTGGCGCATTTACGTTGTAGATGTCTATGTGTTCCAGTAACCACTTAACACCGGGTGGGCTGTGAGCTCGTCCACACATCTAGGCAATAAAAAAAAAAAAACATCCACTTTACCTTTCCTAAAAGAGTATTAAATTTACTCATATTTTACCAACCATTAACGATCTAGCACGATTCCTGCGATGATTGAATAAAATCATGCTCGTAAAATGAAAGTCGTTAATTGCAGAAAACCAATGAGTAAATTGCTAATTTTGAAACGTTGTTTGTACAATTACTCCAAAGTAGGATTTTCTTCTGTGTTTTGGGTACTTGAAACACGCGTACAAGACCATATAGGTACTTCCAGACCATGAATGCCAAAGATAGTGATTTGGACCGGACTGTGTATCCGTTGTAGTCTAGTGTGGGTCCCTAAAATAACAAATTAAACAAAAAACCTTGATCTTATGTGGAGTTTCGAATTAAAAACTCTTTTAAATTTAAAGTTATACGCATTGAATTTACGAGATTTGGACGTAAGCAAAAACTAATAGTTTATCAATAATAAAATTAATAGAAAGACATACCTTACTTTTTGAATAAGTAATTGTCCTTTATTTAAAAACAAAAGTTAGAATTACAAATTTAAAAGTTGCGAAAATACAGGTTTGCAGGTTCGTTGGCCCCCGACATTTGTACACATTTCATTGCGTACAATTTTCAAACTATAATTAGCAAATTAGTGTTTTTCTCTGATTATAATAAAACATATTATTTCAACGCCAGGACAGGAACCTACCCTACTGTGTTTAACACTATTTATTGCAAAAAAATCGAAATATATAAGATGGTTTGAAAATTTTTACTAATTTGAATATTATATGGTTAATTGAGTTAAATATTCTAATTTGAATAAATTACAAATAACAAGGCTTTTAAATTTAGATATTAAGACTATGCATTTTAATAAGATTGTAATTACCATTAATATAATACATATTTTTAAACGAAAAGTGGATATTTGATAAATAAATTTTCAGCAAACAAATATTTCGTATCGAGCTGCAGGCCAGCCGTTATCCTGTAACAATCCAGCACATTTATGTTATAAGCAGCATGTAGGTTGTGATTACACTCTATGGATATCATCATCTCATTGCCACGTACAGTCCGGCTATGGAATGAATTTCCTTCATCGACGTTTCCGCAGTGCTATGACATGTTCTGCTTCAAACGGGTTCGAAAATAGTGGCTTGCGAAATGCCGAGGCTGTTGTGCCCTTGGCATTGCCGGTGGCCAGGAGTTACGTGCAATCGGGATGGCAATAGCATACTGTAGTCGTCATTCCAATTTGATTGATATAATTCATTTCAAAGTTTGATGATACGCGGTAAAAATGATCTCCATAAATGCACTTCAAAAATAAATACATTTCGATAAAAGTCTTATTACCGGAATATCATAAATGAGAGCTTAATCAGTAATCTATAAATATATATCTAATGTATTTGATATTATGTATAATATTTCGTTTTAGTAAAAATACGGTTTCAATTCTAACTAATTTCATTTTATTGTCGGCGCTATTAACGCGCTGAGCAGATTTTTTATAAGAGCCGACGTGATAATTATGTTTATTTGATAAAAAAATACGAAACAAAATGACCATTGAATTTAAAATGTGGTATGATATCTTCATCTCGCTGCCGCACGTATGGCGGAGACCGCGTGCTTTACATGCAAATTTTATTTATTTACAAGGTTTTTATTCATTTTTAAATTGTAATAGAGTTGACCGACCTCATTGTATTGCTAGTTTCTTTGATAATGAACACAGAGAGAAATGTAAATATGGTTCGAATGTAGGCATGCGGGAATTCATTAACCGTGTGTGTTGGCTTATAATTTTGTTATTAGAATGCCAAATCATTAAGTTTTAGCACTGGTGACGTAAATCTTTTTATCCTATTTATGATGGGCACATGGTCGTTTCGCATAATCTCAATTTCGTGGGGTTATCAGAACATGGGTTTTTGTTTCATCTAAAGACACATAAAGCCTTAAATATTTTTCATAATAATTAATGTTTCTGTACATACCTAAATTACCTGATGGTAGGACATCTTGTTAGTCCGCACGATTACCGCCCGATACCACTACCCCACCAATTTCTGCAGTAAAGCAGTAATGCGCTTCGGTTTGATGGGTGGGGCAGCCATTGTACTGTAAAAACTGAGACCTTAGAACTCATGTCTCGGGGTGGGTGGCGACATTTACGTTGTACATGTCTATGGGCTCCGGTTACCATTTAACACCAGAAGTTCGTCCAACCATCAAAGGTATTAAAAAAAACTGTGTTTTCATTATCGATGAGTCAATCAATCATGGGCAGTCCATCGTGGACTGTATAGGCAATCTAGACTGGCTATAATGGTATCTTGTTGTTAATCTTCAAAGTGAGTAAACAAAACATAAACCAGTGAATAACGCAAACAAGAGATCAATAGCGACCGCTTTACTCAAACGATTTGTTAAGTTCAAGCGCTGCGGGTACACTTAGTGAGTGTGTGCATTGCACTGTGATATGTAAACAAAGTTCTAAGGGCTTTATGAAAATATTTTCTGTGTGTTCTCTTTGTGTCGAGAGAAAGAGAGATCAGTGAATATTTCAAAGCCTTAATAGTTCAACACTTAGATGGCAAGACGAAGTGGTTATATTGTGTAATGAATAAAAGACGCGTAGAAAGAAGTACTTAGTATTAATATGATATGTCGTCAGGGATATATAAAATATCATCCATAAAAAATGTGGATGATATATAGGGAAGTGGGAAACATATCCTCGAATCCTACATTTGCAATCTAGGAGTAATTTCAATAATTATAAGATTCCGTAACTAACTGTTCACACTCTCTCCAGGTTTAACGATCTGTGGCGAGCGTCTTTATCGTAAATTCCCGGGGCAACAACTCAGCCACCAGACTAGTAGTATCAGAGGACAGTGCCCCTCTTCCTAGTTAATTCCTTGATATGAAGCAACAGAATACTATAAATGAGTCGTCTATTATCAAAGGTGGCAATCTGTGCATTTGGACAAAAAAAAATTATTGATATGTCAATACAGATTGATTTGAATATAATCGTCTCCTTCAAAGAATACGGCTCAAAACCTGCATTAAATAACGGTTAATAGTTAACCTGTTATTTATCTAAGATGTCGTTCCGAAGAGTTTTGTGACTGCCGATGGAATACAAAGTCAATAATTCGTTTTTCTGATTTACCAATCATTGTCCAAAAGTCAGATTGCCGCCTTTGATAATAGTCGACTCAAATATCCCTTCGATTGCTTACTTTTGAGAATAGATATTCTGACACATTCTGTCGATTTTGATCCAAAACGCATTTCGTCAGTGTAATCAAATTATGTGTACGATTTGTAATTGATTCAACAATACAACAATTACTGTGACCAGATTGTGTCGCTTATCGGAAACATTAGTAAGAAGAAGAGAAGATCTTTCACCGAGCGGGTGTTGTGATTCGGTAGACCGACGGTCCGAACTATCGACACATTATATACCAGCCTATCTGGTAAATATCATTAGCGCAATTCAGCTTTTATTAGACTTCTTCCATTAGTTGAAAGAATGTTGCGTTGCGTTTGTTAAAATGCTCAAATTCTTAGCTCACTTTAAAGTATTATTTCAACCCCTCATGGATATATGTACTACATATTATATCCTCAAGAAAAGCTCGCGTTGTTATGATGCTACGAAAGCTTTTTTTCCCCCTATCTATTCCTAAGGCCTAAGAGACTATTCCAGCAACGCCCAGAGGGGTGAGCTCAGAGTTGAGAAAATTAGCTAACACTAGCCCTAACAAGAGCAGTGCTTCGCAGGATCTACCGTCGCATCGAAATCGCGACCCGCTGAGAAGATCCGGCGAGAAACTCAGTGGGCCGTGTCTATGGCATCCGAAAGTCGACCATTAATCTACCTGCGGTGCATTCCAAGAGGTTTTTTGATCATTATTTTACAATCTAAGCTATTCGATTACGGAATGCATTCCCCGGTTTCAATTACGCATTCCCAAACGTGTGCGTAGGCCAGTAATTAGTACAGGAGTTTTATTTATTTCCCAGCTGTTTAAATCCGCATTACAGTGTATTTATATACAAATATACGCACTTGTGCGCAGATGAGCGTCCTACCCACCGGATGGTAAGAACATACGTCGCATTTTTGGCATTTCTAGGCAGAGAATTAGTGAAGCCGCTGCCTAGAGATATTTACAGTAACAATAGTGTCCGTAGAAGCTCTAATTACAACAATAAATACAAATTACAAATGCCAGGAAGAATGTAGGTATACATTTAATCCTCCAACATTCGAACTTACATAAGTATTTAATTAACCGAACCCCTCCGGATATGAAATGCGATCAGTGATCGCGCCTACTGAGTTTTTTTTCTTCTAAACACATTAATATTGCCAACACGTTGAATACCATATGTCTTTTGGGCTAAGGATTGAATTCCTTTGAAACTATGAACAAAAGACTGGAGGTAAATATGTAGGTGAGTTGTACCTTAAAAAATGTTCGGTATTCCTTTATTTATGATGCTATTATAATCGAAACAAAAGTGTGAGATAAACTCTAACGTGAGATATTCTAGTGTCTTCGGATAATATTAAATGCATTAACACTGTCAATACGTTGCTAGCAGGCTACCAACAGTGATATATTTCTCTCGCTTTAGTATTTAAATATTCAAGCTCAGCTTGTAGTTATTTAATGGGATGCATCTGCCCATAGCCAGGACTAACGGCCGTTTTCAATAACGTATCTGAGTTTTCGGATAGATAGCTATCTCCGAATATCAGCAAGAGCGTATCTGTCCTTAGTTTGCGTTTCACAATCACGGATAAGTGCTATCTCTCTTTAACCAACAGTAGATAGCTTCTTCCCTCCGATTTATCCGAGCCTCTTGATACGTTTCGTTCTACTACAAATACGAAACAACATCNCGGCAGATGTACCACGAACACAGAAACAACAAAAGGAAACAAAACAAATAAAAACTTCCAGAAAGAGCACTTAGTCGGCAGATGTACCACAAACACAGGCCGCGCGAACAATGGCCGGGCTAACAAAAGCCGGGCGAACAAAGACCGGGCGATCGAGTGGACGATGAGCACGTCCGCACGTGACGGGTGCCTCTATCGCCCGTCGATAGGTTATTGGAACGTAAGTAAGGACAAAAATATAGATTTGTCTATCTTTAGTAACCGAAACTAGGGATAGATAGGTTATTGAAAACGGCCGTAAGGCCATAAGAGATCGCTTGAAGCAGTTTATTCGCCGTTTTATAACCATATTTATTTCTATGCACTAGTGATGGACGAGTGTACCTAATATTAAAATCAGTTCATGGATGAGGGAGAAAATATTTTTTATTTATTATGATGTATCATTTTCAAAATAAATAAACTGATTGAAATTTCCGTTAAATATATGTACCGATAGTTCTTCATTTTAGGGATGAGATTACACAACTGTTTCGATGTCCTGCGTGTGCTTGGGGTGCCTTGACCTGCCTTTCTTAATAAGCGTTAAGTTCCGAAACAATGGAGCTTTGAGGAACAATGCAGGCTTTGACGGTGCGGTTGGTAATCGGCAGGACGGTAGCATGCTGCGGTGCTCATTCAGGGTTGCCCATAAACACTACATTTACGGGGATTTTGTAAATTAAACTTGAAGCATTTGTAGCATGGTAAGGCGCCTAGGGTATTCATGTGACCATATACTGTTTGAATCCTGTTAATATGGTATATGCGACTTTCTATAAATTATATTTTTTCCCAACTTGTTCGCTGGTAGCCTAAGGGGTTATCCTACGAAGACAAGCTCTGGCATCTTATAACAATAATATTTTTTGTATTTTCAAAAACACGTAAGTTGTGTAGTCGCGTCCCATCCTTACGTTCTGGAACAATCAGCAATAGAACGTAAATAACGCGCCGGCACAATGGAGTCGTTACCCAGAATGTCGCAGTTTATTTACCACACTTTACGTACGATTTACTGCTAGTTGTTCAAGGGCAATAGCTGATCGGACTCGTCATTCGACTTGCTGATAAAACTAGCCCCTCTGATCAGCTTTGAATTTCCGATTCGTATATGTTACTTTTTGCATACGTTATTTTTTGCATATTTTGTAGTTTGTAACGCTTTTACAGTAATGTCTCTTTTGATGGTCCTTTCCATACTATGTTTCTATTCCTGCTGTGAAGCAATAACTAATAAATTTCAACCTCATGCCCCAAGCTTAAGTGGTATTAATGGTGGTGGTTGTTGCGCCTGTACAACAAAACCCACAAGATGTTCAGAACCTACATATACATAGGTTTAAGAAAACTAATAAAGAACATCTGTGCTTAGCTTACTATAAAGTCAATGATTATCTAGAAGATTGCACAAAGTGGGAATGAGTTGCTCGCTCCGGGCATTTCAATATTGCAATAATTGTTACGTTATAATACTCATTGTAAAAATGAATATTTAAAAAAAAATCTAATATAAAAAAAACTAATATTTAAAAAAAAATGACATGCCCGCTGAGTTTCTTGCCAGTTCTTCTCAGGACGGAGGCTAGTTTTTGTGAATTGGCGGTAGTTCTTTTTGACGTTCAACAAGTATGTACTTTCATTTATGTTGAATAAAACAAAATTTGATTTGATTTGATTTGGCTCTTCGAAAACAAGCAAGCTGAGAGTTCGTTAACAGAACACTTCAAAATTCTCAGCAAACAACAGCCATAGTACATTGAACAATAATGAAGTGCTAACAATAGAGTGCAGCGTCCCTTTGTGAAACCGTTTGCTTGTACAATATCATCCCTACAGAACGAAATGTGCTCTACATCAATAAAGTTTTGACAACTAACGAAATTCACTTCTGTTCCGTGTTCTACAAGCCACAAGCGGTGGCGTTTTTGAAAGATTTCAATTTATTTATTGTGTTATAATAACAAGAAAAGTATGTATTGTGATGCCTGTGTCACGTAAAATGTTAAAACTATTAATGTCACGATTATTGTGGTAGGTAACTGTAATATTTTGGATTAAATTCAGCTTTTATTGGAAATAGAGTCATAAATAAAATCTAGAAGCCTTTATTTATTTACTTATTACTTTTATAGTCTTTTTTTATTTTATTTTTTTATTGCTTAGTTGAGTGGACGAGCTCACGGTCCACCTGATGTTAAGTGGTTACCGGAGCCCATAGACATCTACAACGTGATGCCACCACCTACCTTGAGATATGAGTGATAGGGTCTCAGTTTTTGCAGTACAATGGCTGCCACACCTTTTTTTCTCTACCTGAGCTAGCCTTTGGAGGCTATGCCAGCATCACGAAGCAAATAGGTGAGCTCACGGGGCTCTGACCTGAGGACGTTGTTAGCACTAGTTGAATCCACTGAGAAGATCCGGCACGAAGCTCAGTGCACTGTATCTGATTACTACTTTACGGCAGAAACAGGCAGGTATGGCAGGCAACTATGCGGTCGTTTCTCTCTTCTCTCTTCTGGTAAATTCTCAATACCTAGACTTGTTGCACTTATGAAACCTCAAATTGTAAGAATGCATTTCACCTACAGGAACTGATGACTTAGACCATCGTGAATACAAGTGGCGTGACTAACACACAGTCGTTCCGCTTTATTTATATCAATGGTGTAAATGTCAATTTGACGGTATTGTCACGAGATGACGAGCTTTTGTACTAAAGTTTTACGTATGAGTTGCATTAAAAATTGTTCTTTTACTCGTATGATTTTAACGTTACTGATTTTAGCTGAAGTGGATGTAAAAGACATAAATATGCAAGTCATACATGACATCGGATATTAAGCGGCAACCGACCCTGAGAAGATACTCACTTATTAATTATATTGGAATAATGCTAAAGCTATCAAACAAACTAGAACTTATTTTTACCTCGCACTATACAGGAAGTGAAGTTCACAATATGCCTTCTCCCGAATACCCAAAGTAATGCCCATGAAAAGAGTTAGAAAAGAACTGGAAGTAGTGAAAATGTTTGCTCAACTTGAAACTTGAATGTATGAGCTTGAGGTCGAAGTGGAATAGATCTAAATTATAGTACTCTTTTTTTTATTATAAAAAACTTTTTACGTTAACAAAAAAGAGTACTATAATTTAGATCTATTCCACTTCGACCTCAAGCTCATACATTCAAGTTTCAAGTTGGACAAACATTTTCACCAAATAGAGCGCTGGCAAAGTGGACGAACAAAGACCACCGGGTATAGGCTCGACACGTTGGACTAACCAGATCCGCACTACACTCGACACCACAATCCACGATGCTCTACACTCGACGGCAGGTAGACAAATGGCGTAGAGTGATCCACAATAAACTCTGTTGCGAGGAGGTCACGACCCTCGGTATTGAGGAAACCGAAGCGAAAAGCTGGAGAAACAAATTAAACAGTACTACAGCTAATACGGTTTTTAACATTTCAAACTTAATGTAATCTCTACTCGAAAGGGCCTCACGCACACATGTACAAATTAGGGTCCCCCTGTACATTCAGTGTAACCGGTTCCCAGTTCTTGAAGGGTAAAACTCCACAATAGTTGACGTAAGCTAATTTATCTAACAACAATATCCTAAAATATCAATAGAATTAAATTCAATTAAATAACTTTATACACTTCAGAGAATAAGCTTTGTATTAATTGCTTTTATTGGATACATAAATAAAAAAGCACTTCTTTTATGAATTGCTCTATGGATAAGGGCTAATTTTATTAATAGGATTTATATTTATTTGTAAATTTCCAGACTGTACAGTCGTTCTGGAAGTGAGCGAACACTAAAATAATAAATAATATAGAGCTTAAGTGATGCTACATACACGTAAGAGAAACCTAGCAGTCCACATTCACAAATATAGATACATTCTGTGTGAGCGTGTATAATGACGTT